CTCAAAGAAGTTCTATCACAGTCTACCAGACACATGTTTTGGTATTTATTTACTTCTATGAGTTATTTTGTATGCAAACCAACTGAAGCAATTTATTATATAAAAATCTGAAAATATAAACCTTGACATAAAATGTGTTTATAATCTGATTTTAGAAAAGAGTCAAACTACAAAAAGGAAAATCATAGAATAATAAACACTCAATTAAATATCGGGTTAATTCTGAACATTGACTCAGCCATACACATGTAACACAATGAGTCGCTCGTTTATCACTGATGGGGGTCGGGTCGGGTCGGCAAGATGAAAGGCTCTACCTGTGTATGTGAGTGGGAGGGTTGCATACGCTACCTGGGAAATGGGGAAAGCAGTGAGAACGCTGAGACTCAAGGGACGACGTACGGAACGAAGCGACTTGTTCAACAGCCTATTCACAACTACCGGCGAATCTGCAAGTACCGGTCGCTGGTGTAACATAGCGAGGATACAATTTGTTAAATTAACTTGTCACTTTCAAAGTAGCTGCTCAATAACTATTCATTCTGGGATTTGATTTCCCACGTTTAAATCATGAGTCGAAGTGAAAAGGTGGGTTAAAGTCACGACCCATCTCTGTGAATAGAAAACATATTTGTCAGGTGTTATACTGATAAACCGGATCGTCCCAATAGATGAAAGACTGACTGACTGAGTTTGGTTTTACGCCGCTTTTAGCAATATTCCAGCAACATCACGACGGGGGACACCAGAAATGGGCTTCACACATTGTGCCCATGTGGGGATTCGAACCCGGGTCTTTGGCGTGACGAGCCAACGCTTTAACCATTAGGCTACCCCACCGCCCCAACAGATGAAAGAATATCACAATTTATATTATAACCATCAAGAATTATCATTATTATTATTGCTGTTTGTTTATTTACCGTTTGAATTTCATTCTAGAAATGGGGTAAGCAAACAAGAAGAACTTTACTTTGTCCATCCCATTTTTTATGACTGATATTCTGTTTGTCATTATAATCATATTCCCTGAAAATCCGTGCGAATATCCTGACTATTTTAATCATTATCGTTGTTGTCGTCGTCATCAACATCACCTTTGCTCTCACGTCATCATGAAACCATCTGGTCATTGATCAGTACACATATATACCCTATAAAATGTCTGCTTGTAGCTTCAATGTCTTGAACGAGGTGTACATATTACATACGTCCCTGGCTTTATCATAAAATGTAAATAAACTTCTTCCATTAATCGGCAAAATTAAATACCGCCAGAATTAATGCAACAAGGGAAATTTGAAGCGATTCCCGACAATGTGCAACCCCACCCGCTCGAGCTAAATGAGATGACATGCAGTTCATAAGTTGGCGCGTGCCACAATCTTTGAAATCTGGGTGGGGGTCGAGTGTAGGGAGGGGTGGGGTAGTGTGAGGAAGCAGTTCCTCTTCTCTCGAGCATGCCTGTCATTTCGGGGCTCTTTTGGTCCGATTCTCCCTAAAGCGTTTAGACGTGAATCCTTTCTTTGCTCCCCTGTGTCGCCAGTTAGCCATTGTATATTTCAATGAAAGAAAACCGAGTCTTAAGTGTTTAAACAGCACTGATCTTTGAGACTTTCCTCCCGGCCCAAACTTTTCATTCGTAGAAACTGATTGAGCTTAGTGTAAATACAATTTCCCTGGCCTTTCTTCGAGAATATCGCAAACATATTACAGGTGATATTAGACGAGAAATTCTTTGTCGATGATCCCTTGCTTCAGCACGTATATCCCGGGGAGGCAGTCTACGCCTAATTCATTTTTTCACAAGTTGAGATCAGCTCGAGGGTGGATGAGGTCAGAGATATGAGATCTGCCCGAACCATTAAATGAGTTAATTGTCGCCCTTACTTGATTCTAATTGAATATTGATTGTTTGTGTTCGAGAAATTGCGCTCAAGCATGCGAAGTCTGCGGAGATATGAATGTGGTTATTAGGAAGAAAGTGTTGAAAAACCGCGGGGAATACCTTTAAAACATATTCCTATTTTCGTACAACCCTCCCCGCAGTTTAGAGCAAGCGGTTCAAAGTGAAAATCCTTTTCATCTCCCTGACGCTATCTACAGTTAACTGTGTGGTAAATATTTTCTGTGGGTTAAAAATAATATGGCGTCTTAATATAAAGCAAACGTTGTTCTAATAGGTTTGATATTATCTGGCTTACCTAGCAGAACAATGGAGTATTTTTAAGTTTTTCGGTATAAAAGTGTGCTTCATATTTCCATATATATAATTGAATACTAGTAACTGCACACTATAATCCGAGACCGCGTTGTTCTCTGTTTTTAAAACGGAGACACGTGTATGAAAAATTGTCTATTATTTTTTAAACACAAAAAACAAAGACCTTGTGCAGGTTTATGAATATCTTAACACATTTTGGCACAACACGTTCATGTATCTAGATATCCATCGTTCTCCATTCTATTTCATTTCAATTTCTTTCCTATTTTAAGAATATTCTTAATATTTCTAACGCAGTTTGCAGATTGTTGGCTCAAGAATAGAAATGTCCCGTAGCAAGCTGTCGCTCGGGAACAGCGTGCGGATGAAATACCCCCCGGTAACATGTGGAATTCAACAAACAAATGTTCGTTTCGGAATTGTTAATCCTACTTTTGTGCACTCATAGAAAACGCTGCACGTGACTGTGAATACGCTAAGAATCGCAAGGCATAGCCGCACCTACTGGTCTGTGGTAACAGAACTTCAAACCATCTGTATTAAATATCATCCATTTTCGTGTATTTTCCCCAAATTATATATTTACTTTAGTATTATCAATTTCCAATGAAGTATTTTACTGTTTACACGAAGTTTGAACAAATATATGCACGTGCTTATTGGAATTTCTTCTAAATTATTATTTTTAAGATCGGTAATTATTTATTTTACAAAGATAGCTTTTGTTGAAAACATGCTATTTACACGTGTGATTTACGTTACAGGTATTGGTGATGTGTTAGTTTAAATAATCTTAAATAATACTTATATTTTTCAATCTCATTCTTTTTAGTCGGATAAGCACAGCGAGACCAAGAGGGAATCGCGCTTTCCGTAGCGCTGGAGGCGTTGGCGATCCATCAGAAACAAATACAAGCAGAACGGACATACGTAAGGTGCATTAATATTCGCGTCTCGTTTCATAGTTTGTGTGAGTGCTTTCACATTGATATATAACTAACCTTAGTCATCTATTAACATTTGGTCAACAGTATAATGTCGCACATCACGCTTTTTAAAGCAAATCTCAGATTATATTTCACTTTCAATCTGCAATCTGATTTCGTTTCAATTCCGTGATAAAATTTGATGAAACTGACGTGTTAAGCAGGGCGAACTAACTCAGCTGTCCATTCCGATAATCTACCCCCAAACCCCCTATTCTCTCTCTATTTGTCTTCCTGGCTATCAAAATTACGCGCCTCGCACCGTCGGATAGTGAAAGTTGGGTTAGAAGCGCGCCTTCTCATCTGGGAGGACAAACGGCAAATTGAGTTGGAAACTTGATTTGATTTGATTCCGATTCTCCCAAGATTCGCAGAAAAACTCCAGTCGCGTGCTTAAAGAAATTCCCGCCCGTAAGAGAAGGTGACGCGACGGGGCTCCGTCTCCCTGCACGCGACGGTCACGCGCAAACCGACCGATTAATTTCGTCTTCATCGGTGAGAAATCCGTGTCTTGAAATAACCCCAGATTAACTTTCAGTTTCCAACAGGGGAGGGAAAATTTTATTAAGCATGCAAACCCAAATATTTTTGTTTTCCTGGGACGGTGGCCGTGCAACATCTTGCCCGAGAGAGGCAACATAACAAGCGAGAAGTTTGTCTGATGTCGACAGCGCTGGATGCAATATGTCTCTTTGTTTGAAACAGCTGGTTGAGATTAAACTGTGTTCAATAGCCTCGTCAAGGAGACGGGGCTAAGATGAAAAATCGTCTCGTAAAATAGCCACACCAATGCTTTCATCTCTTAGCTTTAATTGGATCATAAGAATTCTTACTCATTTAGCTCCGCCAACTTTCTAACGGCTTGGAAAAATGAAAGACGTCGTATTTTGACAATTGTTCCCTATTTTCGACAATTAATCGGGGTGAACTTTAAAGTGTTTTCTTTCTCTCTCCCTTGCTATAATTTTCTCTAAGTCAATTACAATTTCCATATCATGGTTTTCACTAAAATGAATTAATTGACCTTTACATCGGTTAAAAGAGACACAGTTAGTGCTTACGGTTGAAAACCCCTTTTATGCCAAGTGAATGAGTCTTTGTAGTCGTGAAGGAGAAGCTAATTTGGTGTAAGAATGTTTTCACCCGTTGTAAAAAATGGCGAATTGTTGGGACGCTGTGTTATTTAAGGGTCAGTGAGTTTATTTTACGGGACTGCTGAACGTGACGGTATTACAATCCCGACGTTCAGTTTAGCGCCAAAACAGAAATGTGTAATATCAAAGATTGTAATATTACCTCCGCTTAATCCATATGGCAAATAAAGTTGATAGGCAGATATTTAAAAAATATAAAATTGAAATGAGTTTCGATTTGTAAATCTTTCTAAAAAAACATGGAACGTCAAGAGCTAACCAAAATAGAAAGTACATATTAGCAAAATTTGGTAAAACATATTAATACAATCAAAGGCATCACATTCCTGGCGAACATATGTACGTACACAGACGTAAAGAGGTGTTAAATTTGTTGCCAGACTAGATTCTAGTAATTAGCCCATGCACGACCATGACAAAGAAACGCTCTGCATTAATAAGAAACTGATATGTAATATAAGTAAATATCTCACATATAATGTAAGTACAGGCTGTAGCGGAAATTTTGGGATATTAAAATATAACCCGTGGAAAGAAAATCGTATTCCGCAAAATTGATGATAATGTGTGAAAGAATCTTTCTAACAAAATGAACGAGATACTATATGAAATGAGTATACTTGAATATGAACGTACCAATAATGTGAAGACGAGCAGAATTTGCCCCCGGGGCAATATCGCCATATCGTCACGCGGGTTGGTGTATTTCCAGCTTCTTTCATTTGCTCACTAAAATGTTTGTATAGTTCGGAGCCTGCCTGCGTTTGTCGCGAGCAGTCTGGTCGGGCAAATACTTTATTCGATCTCACAAGGATGGAGAATATTGAACAAGAAAAACGTCGAAGTTTCAAGCGCGACTGCCGGGCCTTCGCCATACAACACATCGAATTCCCTTAACGACGAGGTGACACGAGAAATGCACGACTCAAGGGAGGAAACTCTTGTCAAATGGCAATCTGTTGCCAAGTCAGTGTCAGTTAGCTCCCTTTAATGGATTTTTCCTTGTTAATCTATATTGTATATGTATACTGATGATTTATTATTTGCTGTTGAAGTAATGGGAATTAATATTTGTACTTCGAAATCTGTTTGATTATGATTGTTTTTCGAAAAACCATTTAGTTTTTGTGTTTATCTTTACCAAATTGTCCCCTCAAGAAACCGTCAATGATAAGGAAATTCTAGAAAATTCACAGACTCGTAACAACGTGAATATAGTGTGGCTATACGTTTGTCAAAAGATACACGGATCTTAAAAATACGATTAAACTAAATAAAAGAACAAAATAGACCAATAAACATACAAGAACACCATGGTATCTGTCGAATGTTTTGTCTTGTATCTGGGGCGGTGGGGTAGCCTAGTGGTTAAAGCGTTGGCTCGTCACGCCGAAGACCCGGGTTCGATTCCGCACATGGGCACAATGTGTTAAGCCCATTTCTGGTGTCCCCCGCCGTGGTATTGCTGGAATATTGCTAAAAGCGGCGTAAAACTAAACTCAGCCAGTCAGTCAGTTTGTCTTGTATCATGAAAACTACGAACCAATTGTGATTATATATTGCTGTATATTGACAGTCTCATTACCATCTCATCCTCCCGGGTACCCTGATTTGTGAAGAGTGAGTGAGTGAGTTGGGTTTTACGCCAATTTTTGCAATATTCTAGCAATATCACGGCGAGGGACACCAGAATTGGACTTCACACATTGTGCCCATGTGGGGGATCGAACCCGGGTCTTCGGTGCGACGAGCGAACGCTTTAACCACGAGGCTATCCCATCGCCCCTTATTGTTGTGAAGAGAGGATCAGACCGATGAAGTCACTTGTCTAAGGAGAAACCACGTGTAGCATGACTTTCAGTACGGAGTTGGACCGAAGCCCTCGAAACTCTCAGGAGTCAAGCCGAACACATCTCCAGTTCACCTTGGGTACAATGTGTGAAGCCCATTTCTGGTGTCCCCCGCCGTGATGTTGCTGGAATATTGCTAAAAGCGGCGTAAAACCAAACTCAGTCAGTCAGTCAGTCAGTCCAGTTCACCTGTACCCACCACCAACTTCACTTTTTATAGCTCAGATATAAAGTGGATTTGCTAAATAGCGAATATATAAGCAAAGGACCAACTTTATGGATGAACAACTTCTTTATTCTTTATTATTTGAATAAAGAAGTTGTTCATCCATAAAGCTTGTCCTTATCTGACTCCCCAACTTCTAAAAAATGCCCCTCAAAGAAGAATCTATTTACGTTCAGTTAGCCAGTATATTCATTCATATCATAGTCTGTCATACAGACCCTAACACAAATATACCCAAATAAAGCCCTTGCAAGTCTAGAAAATGTGGTAAGTCTAGACTACAGAGGTTTCAGGTCTAAGATGAAGAAAGACTCTGGGCTCCTTTATATATTAATGAAGAGAATTTAGGACCTTTTTTTCTGTAAAATATGTTCATTTCAGACAGAAGATGTTAGTCTAGTCATATCAGATCATGTCAACTTGATTGTGGAGTGAGTGAATTCGGTTTTAGCGAACCCGAGTCTTCGGCGTGACGAGCGAACGCTTTAACCACTATGCTACCCCACCGCCCCTATTTGATTGAGGGGGACAAGCCTGAAGTGATGCAGGTCCTCCACGGCAACCACTTTGGTGGAACCCCTGGGCATGTTTTTTGCGCTTGCAAACATAATCAGGCGCATCTGGGATCACAGGTTCCTGGCACGTCTAAGGGACGCAACTCTTAACAGCAAATTTACCCGTTTGAGGCCCTTAGATGCGTACAACCTGTATTCCGCAGAAGTATGGTTTGTGTGAGCAGGATTAAACGATGCTTTGTATATCATCAGAAATCCATGGTTGTCGTACCAGGCGACTAACGGGATCGGGTGGTCAGGCTCGCTGACTGGGTTGACACATGTCATCCTATCACAATTGCGTAATATCGATGTTCCTGAAGTTGATCACTGGATTTTCTGATCCAGACTCATTTATTTACGGACAACCGCCATATAACTGGAATATTGTTGAGTGCGGAGTTAAACAGATCCCAACAACAACAACAAAAATAAAAGACCCAACCAATCGTGGCCTTCACAACCCTGATGTCCCGACCAGCTAGGTCACATAGTTAAGTTTCTTAGCGGTGCACTCAGCAATATACCACCTACTGGACGTCGGTCTGTGAATAATCGAGTATGGACCGGACAATCCAGCGACACACATCGTGAGTATCGATCTGCACAATTAGGATATGTTTCGACGAAGTCTGCGGGCCTGTCCGTCCAATCCCGTTAATCGTCTCGTACGACAAGCATGGGTTGCTGAACACTGATTCTAACCTGGATCTTCATACGCGTCAGATAGTAATCGAACACCGGATAAGTCGAACCGTTATTCTAGTCCCTGGGACTATGATACCACAGACGGATCGCTGTGTATGGGTTAATCGAACCGACAAGCCATCTTCACCCATACGCGGCCAGTCCTTGCCGGTACCATTGTAGACTAATGCTTAGTCTCTGAATATATATAATTTTGATAGTAACAAACAAGCCCATTTAAATTGAAAAGGAGCCCTGGGGAGACCAGAGATTCAGAACCTGAGGAAATCTAGACTAGCTTTATTTAGGGCTTTAGCACTGCAGAGAGGGCTTGGCAGTAGGGAAATAATGTGGTTCAGGCACTGTGAGACAGACTAGTACCATTGATTTGATTGTGGGGACACAATGCTGAACATTAGTGAGTGAATTTGGTTTATGGACGCTTCCAACAGTAGGTCGGTAATGTCTTGGTGAGTCGGCTTGGCGCTGGTAGAAAATCCGAAGTGACAGAGGTATCAGACGACTGGGTAGCACGGTTTCACAGTTAGTATTGACCTTACAAACCTTTCAACATAGCTTCCCTTTTAATCAAAGTTGTTGCTTTTGTTTTTGTTCTTTTGTAGGTCCCCGACTATGCCCCGGACCACACTGCACAGTGAAGACTTAATTATATACCATCGTGCCAGATATTTATACTTGGAGGTCAGTCGAGTGAGTGAGTGAGTTTAGTTTTATACTTCTTTTAACATTATTCCAGCAATACCACGGCAGGAGACACCAGAAATGGGCTTCACACATTGTACCCGTGGGGAATCGAACCCGGGTCTTCGGCGTGCCGAGCCAACGCTTTGACCACTAGGCTACCCCACCGCCCCCGGGTCAGTCGAAATTGGGTTTATGATGACTGTACTTGTATACAGACATGGAATCTGCGTCCCCGCCACCATGTGTGTTCGTGCACGTGTGTCTCCTTGTACTAATCCAGGCATATGTCGTTTTATGGTACATACTAGAGATTGCTTCAGCTCCTAACTTAAAGGACCCGTAAAGATCCGGGTTAGAATTGGTCTTCAGTAACCCATGCTTGTCGTAAAAGGCGACTAACGGCATCGGGTGGTCAGGCTCGGTGGTTTGGTTGACACATGTCATCGTATCCCAATTGAGCAGATGGATGATCATGTTGTTGATCACTGGATTGTCTGGTCCAGGCTCGATTATTTACAGACCGCCGCCATATAGCTGGAGTATTGCCGAGTGCGGCGTAAAACTAAACTCACTCACTCACCCAGTTGTACAGATCGATGCTCATGCTGCTGATCACTGTAAAGCGCCAGGCAGGGTAGCAAGTTCCATCTGTTCCAACGCGGTAATGAGATCGAACCTCCAGACTTCGCTCTCCCACAGACGCGGTCAACTTTTAGTCAGAAGCGCCCGTAAAATATATTGATGTGAACGATAAATGTGATGTTTTTCATCTACCAGAAATGTTGTCAGCTGCCGATTTTGCATTCAAAACAGACTGTACGTATTTAAGTACCCCTGCAACGAAATAAATTACAGATAACCCACAATTGGTAGGTTGTACGTGTTACATTACAGAGCGTTTAACGAAAGTAAGTTGAACGGTTGAACACATTCCAGCACCAGGATTGGGCTTTACACATTGTACCCTATCTTCCGCGTGACGGGCGGACGCTTTAACCCACTAGGCTACCCCACCGCCCACCCCTTACGGATAATAAACACTACAGCTAGTTTTGTCTGCAACATCTCCCCGGGAGTGAGCGAGGGTTTGAACCAACTTGGAACTGACGTGATGTATGTGAGTGGGCATGAGTTTTAAGTCAATTTTATCATATTCCAGCAATATCATGGTGGGGGACACCAGAAATGGGCTTCACACAATGTACCAATGTAGGGAATCGAACCCAGGCAATTGTTGTGATGAGCGAACGTGGTGATGACTGACTGAGTTTGGTTTTACACCGCTTTTAGCAATATTCCAGCAACATCACGGCAGGGGGACACCAGAAATGGGCTTCACACATTGTACCCATGTGGGGATTCGAACCCGGGTCTTCGGCGTGAAGAGCCAACGCTTTGACCACTAGGCTACCCCACCGCCCCAAGGTCGTGATGAACACTGACAACTTAAAAGAATCACAAACACAACATCTACTGTCATAGATATTTTAGTTGTACAAATAAGGCTTACACAAAATATAAATACATGTATGAACATTGTCATCATTGTATGAGCTGGACGCTACTTCACAATTACATGCATTAAACCTGCCAATATTGGGAGTCATCACAACATAGAATCATTTACAATGTTCCCTAGAGGGAGTTAAAAATTTATACTCTACACAAATTGTATACCTCTCATCACTACACAAATGACAAAGATGCTATGAAATCAAAGGCAGAAATAAATATACAAAATGATATGCAAACGCAAATATAGTTTTCTCAAGAAAACATAACTCTCGCATTGATGAACTGTCAAGTGAACACGTTTTGGCCTCTCACACGGCTACTTTGCGGAATGAGAATCAAATAGATACAGACATCTACTATTATACACTACTTACACCTGGACATTTTCAGGGTCTTCCACAGTGGGGGATCAAGGAATTACTGATTCCCAAACACACCCAAAATAACAGAATCTCCAGAAGAAATAAGCCTCGAGAAGAGTTTCAAATATGACCCAAGAAGACCCAAGACTCCGGAGACTAATTAGATGAAGATTAGCAGGGCTTCAGTTACCTGCTTACCTTGAGTCTGTATCCTAAATCTATTTCTCCCGATAACTCTTGCCACCCCCTCAACACCTCTGTTATTGCTGGACAATGGCTAAAATGAGCACACACACCCCCTGCTGATAAACCAACAATGGGTAAAACAAAACCCTGTGTCTTTCTTATCTTGTTTGTGTAAATCAAAACTTCATATTCATATTTTATTTGAACACGTGTATCCCCCCATCAAAGGTTGCTTCGAACACGGACTGTTATGATATTTTTTAAAAGAAATTTCAGCATTTTTCAAATTTTCTTACAAAATATCAGATTTAGATAATCAAACGTTGTGACATTGATGTTGCAAATAAAAAATAAGCTAAATTGATAAAATGTATTGCAACACTTAAGCTATAGATCGACATGTTTTTCTTAAAAAGAAAATATGGAACCCTCCATAGATACATACATAGGGAAGTGCTCTTGCAAAATATCCCTATTTGGTAAATTTAACCTTCTGCCATCAAACCTGTCAAACCTTTGCATAGGTGTTTCCAAGACTTATACATCACAGCACGTTGTTTAGAGTAATTGAGTTTGGTTTTACGCTACTTTTAGCAATATTCCAGCAATATCATGGCAGGGGACACCAGAAATGGGCTTCACACAATGTACCCATGTGGGGAATCGAACCCAGGTCTTCAGTGACAAGCGGAGGCTTCAACCACTAGGCTACCCCACCGCCCCTGTTGTTTTAGAAACACTAAGGCCTCAATGGCTTGGTGAATTTGGTTTAATGCTGCTTAGTTCACTATCCCAGCTATATCAGAGTCTGTCTGCTTAATCTCATTCTTCAGATAAGCTGACGAGATGAAAGTCTCCGACCTTTACCATTTCAGCAAATCTCCCTAGCACAAGCATGCTGCTGACACAACTGGAAACAGCGGGAATACAGCATACTACTTAACAAAAATTAAAGAAAACCTAATTCTTCATCCTACCACTGTATTCCGATATCAAAATTAGTTCCTATCAAACTTTTTCTTTTATTGTGAAAAACCTTTTCTTCCCTATGGAATAATTATATTCATTCCGAAAATCTTGAGCCTTTCATATCAGAAAGGGTAACTTTTCTACGTAAATCAAAGGAAATATTTCACCGGGAGACTATTGACTATTTAAGAACTACGCCTTTGCTTATAGACACAACATTCACTGACTCCCTTCTTATACCTGTCCTAAAATAATCTGAGACTGAAAAATAGTTCTTATCCACTTCAGGTATCTGTGTGCCAAATCAAAAACACCTCCATATGACAGCATATTATTTCTGCTTTTAGGTGATTACCTTGCAGTAAACTCCATGATACTTTAATAGGATGCCTGCCTACTTGAAGCAATGTTGAAACTCCAAGTATAATTGCTTTAATAGCAAATGGTATTTTTTTATATTTCTCAGCCTAATTTACAAACTAAAGGGAGATAACTCAACACAGCTTGAACACATAGATTACAAATGACAATTCCCACAAACAAAATGAGCATTTCAAATTAAAGGTTTCATGTGTCAATTTCATGTTTCATGAGACAATATCTTCACATTTTGACTAAATAGCAATAACTAAAGTATTTTTTTTCTATCAAATACTAACATTGTACTTGCCTCCTCAGCCAGTGAACATCCTATGTCTTATTGCACTTGGTTGCCAATGTTAGACTGTTGATTACATGAAATATAATGACCCAAGACAAGATTTGTTTCCAATCCCACCCTGAAAACTCGAATACAAACCAAATGTACAATTAGATTTCATTGTCTGGGCGAACCTAGATCTTACACTTTAATCTAGTCGGTAGATTCTGGAAATTAAACATTTCTCAATGATATGTGGTTCTTTTCCTCTTGAAGAAACAAAATTCATTTCTCTATTTTAGTAAAGAACAATGATAGCATATCAAACACTACAAAAGAAATATTTCCTGAACTTACTTACAAATCTATGCCATGAAGTATTTCAAAGTGTGAAAAGTCTCTAATTTGGGATTTGTATTAACAGCTTTTTGTGCCTTTTAACATTCATAATGGCACATAAAATACATGAAATGGAATATTTTCTCTCATATTAAGTAGCTAGGTTTGCATCTTGGTGGTGGGGAGATGAGTTTCATCATCTCAGGAATTACTGCTTCATCAGTGCCCTTAATTAGTGTTTATATTCACTAATTAATTTAACTTCCACCCAAAAGAGGAATATGGGCAAGTCTCAAATCAGAGATTGTTTTTAGTTTGTTTGCTTCTTAACACTGCCCCTAAGAATGTAAAATGGCAGTTTTTCCATCTCATGAACATGTCAAACCATTTAGCTAATTTTCTTTTTCATCAACGTCCCTCATCACTAATGTCCTGTAAAAGTTGCAGAGCATTATTGGACATCTCACCAAGGACTAAACGGTTTGATACCAATACATCCCTGGGCGAGGGACTAATATTTATCTGACTTACCAAGTAAAGTAGGAAACATGGATTATTTCTACAGTCCTTTGACTCAAACATATTTGTATGGTTACAGTGTAATCTCAGAATTTAGGACATATTCAAAGTTTTGGATCAAGTCTGTCGAACCATTAAATTACATGATTTTACATCAGTTTCACTTTCACTTTCGAGAACTTTGACCGATTGTCACCGAACACATTATTGGACTGAAAGAAAGCTATTTCTCGAATTTGGTAGTAATGTAGAAGAATGTTTTATCACTAATTTAAAAAGCATCCAAAATGTTTGTCTGCCATTTGTCTTGAGCAATACCACAGCACCACTTAGAAACAATTCCTCTTATCCAATTACACTCTTCAGCCATTTTGGACTTTATTCAAGTAATACATCTCGGACTAAGCAGCAATTCCTGGGATGTCTGAGACTAAATGCCCTGCCAACCATGTTCTACACTGAGCCCTAGAAAGTAGCACCGCTTCACATTAATATACTCTGCACAGCAGCATCAAGATCATCCTCCATTGAAGTTTCTCCGCCATCCTTGTCCTCCGTCGACGCTGACTCATCCGGCTTGTCCTCAGACTCACCGCCCCCTTCCTCCCCGTAATATTCACTCTCGTCCTGACTTGTGTCCGTCACTTCCGTCAGCTGGTTGTCATAGAAACTTGTCATGCTACCTGACTGGTCCATGAAGTCGGCTGTTGTTGGCGGCTCCTCACCTGGGTTTAAACTCAGAATGCTATCAATAGCACACTGCATTTGAGCATTCATCATATGGTTTTGAGGGTCGTTTCCATCAGATTCGAAAGAGGCATCGAGTTCAATTCCATCAGACTGATTGTTTTCATCCTGTGAATTACTGGGCCCACTTTCTGGAGAAAACATCATCTCATTTTGGGGGGAGATCTTTGCTTGTGAGAACATCTGCATTTGAGCCGAGATCCTTCTCGGATGATATTGTGGATAGATCAGCCACATTACCGTCACTACTAACATCATCGAAGTCCATAATGGTGGATACAGCATTGCCTATTTCCTCTACATGTTCCTGGGGGGCAGCAGTATGGGGGTGGGGGTTGGCTGTGAAGGGCATAACATCATCATCACTGTCATACACATGGGCAGCAGCATGAACAGCAGCAGTGGTCAGAGAATTGGTCCTGTTGCTACCTAAGTCCATTTGATGATGAAACCCATCATCAGACGTAATACTACTAAATGCAGTCCGAGCAGGTTGCGTCAATGTCGACACAGATGCAGGCTGCGAGCACAGGTTTCCTGTCAGCGCTTCCGGGAAGTCAAAACTGCTGGGATCAAAGTCATCCGGTATATGAGATGTGAACTCCCCTAAAACTGTTCCCCCCGAGTCGAGAGGTTTTTGGATGGGGGGAGAGGACACTAGGGTAGTCCCCGGAAACGTCTGTAATGCTGATATCACTATACTGAGGCTGCTGCACCTCGAGCCGAGAGTCCGTCGACACACCAGACACAACAGGAGAACCCTTTACCTTTAGCAACGGGTCATCCCCGGAATGATGGAATGCCTGAAGTCGTTCCTCCACACCTGGTTCACTCACATTACTCTGGGCCAACTGAGCCTGGAAGCTGGGTTCACTTAATCCAGTCTGTAAGTCTGTAGTGTCAAGATCACTGCTGGCATTAGCACTCGACAACTCCCTACTCAGAACATTCCCACTCTCATCCCCCCTCTCCCCAGACATATTCAAATCGTCTCTCTCGTCTGCATAATGGTCAGTCTGGAAATCATTTATATACAGAGATTCTCCTTTCACCACATCCTTCGGAGGCGTCTCCTCAGGAGTAACCTGACCATACCGTGGACTCGGCGGTTCAGTTTTCACAGGAGTTTTTGTTTTGAGGCTACTGGTAAACCCACGCCCATCGTTCCTGATCACTAACTTAACTTTGCCGGGGGGTACAATGGGTGACGATTTGACAGACATCCTCTCCGAATCTGCCGAGGCAGAACTTTGATGTAAGGACTCAGACATTTCGCGATCACTATACTCCGACTCTGTAAATGTCTCCGACTTGACGGCAGATGTATCTAGAGCACTTGATTCTGCAGCACTATCCTCCTCCTTCTTCTCCTTCTTTAAGTACTTGGTCGGCAGGAATCTTGATAACATTCAGACTGACTGACTGATCGTTTGGTTTTCGCTTATAGCAATATTCCAGCAACATCTCGGCAGGGGACACCAGAAATGGGCTTCACACATTGTACCCATGTGGGGATTTGAACCCGGGTCTTCGGTTGACGAGCCAACGCTTTAACCACTAGGCTACCTAACCGCCCAGATAACATTCAGAATAACATCATGACTCAAGACTTATTTTTAGAATAAGAATATTTAAAAAATGCAGTTTTATTAGTAATTTCACAGAAGAACTCAATGAACACCCAAATCTCGATATTATTATACAGGGTTCCAGGTAATTTTTGAACACCAGGAGTACTCGAAAACCTTAAGCCTACATTTGGAGTACTGCATGGAATTTAATGGAGTATCAGCAATCTTGTGTTTCGTTTCATATATGCACCACAACATTGCTAGTCTTGTGTAAACAGGTCAATAAACAATAAAACAATACTTTTTCAGATAAACACGTCTGTAAATGATTCTAAGACCGTACACCATTGCCGTGGTGCGTATCTGCTACGTTTTATCAATTATTTCGTTATAGTTAATATATTCTGAGCAGGATACTTGTTGCTAAATGATCTCATCATTCACATAAACTGGTCTGAAGAACTGGTCCAGTTATATTTCCTTCTAAAAATCTTACCTCATGACAATCCACACATTAATCCTAAACCAAGCTTTAAATAAGTGACAAATATGGACCACCAGATATTTACATTCACAGATAAACTGTAAATTTTACAAAGCAAACTTAGAATTGAATTAATTGTAACTGCGGATGTCAACAAGAAGTCCCTTTGTCGTTTCTGAATTTGTCAAGTCTCAGACAAGAGGAATATAAATGTTCTTTCATGCAGTTTTCTTCAAATACCAAGAACGACTTCTCAAGAGCTGTAATTTAACCATGCATGCAGATGTTCTGTGTAGGGTCGTTTTTGTTATTTCATCACTCAATCCGAACAACTGATATGAAGCCAAAATTATGTTTGAAAGCTGGAAGATGAGTTGTGTCATTTACACCACCCCTTAGCTGAATGGTTTGGTGGTGGTATGAGTGAGTGAGAAAGAGTTTTGAGTAAACATTGACTGTACTGTTGACTGAGTTTGGTTTCGAAGCTTTGTAAAATATTCCAGCAACATCACGGCATGGGGACACCAGAAATAGCTTCACACATTGTACCCATTATGTTTGAACCCAGATACTTGTGTCAAAAACACACACAGCACAGCCCTTAGCTGAATGGTTTGAGTGAGTGAGTGAGAGAGTGTGAGAAAATTACATGGCTTTTCACCATATTCCAGCAATATCACAGCGGGGAAACAAGAAAAATGCTTCACACACTGTGGACACTTTTAGTACTCGGTTAGCCCAACACAACTAAACAGCTGAAATGGTTGCGGATCTTGTGACTGGAATACAGACGACAAAGACACTGTACCTGGATCAGCCTTGATTACTTCTTTCTCTTTTTTGATGACAGCTGTGAGATCTTGATTGAGCATGCGTTGGATCATCACCATCTCTGCAGATGGTCGATCTCTCTGAAAACACAAGGTCAGTCCTCACACGCACTAGCTGGCGACAAGGTAACAGCACGTGACAGACAACTCTTACATAATTCATGTGCTATTTTGTGACCCACTTTGGTTTACTTGCGTGTTTACATTAGTTCAACGAGGGTCATTGGGATTGGGCTTAATTCACAGAATTTCGGCTCCACTTCAACACCTTCATATGGCATTACAATACTGTACGTAGAATCAACTTATGTACAACAGACCACACCCTTTCACCTAGTCAGCCAGCAAGCAAAACCCTCCTTCCTGCAGATCACTGCACAAAGAGTCAACCTAAATACATCTGCAGACCACACTCATCTACCTACAGGCTACACCCTTCCACCTAGAGTCGACCAACAGACCACACCCCTATACAAAGTGTCAACCTAAATACAACAGCAGACCACACCCATCTACCTACACACCACACCCTTCCACCTAGGGCCGACCAACAGACCACGCCCCTATACAAAGGGTCAGCCTAAATACAACAGCAGACCACGCCCATCTACCTACACACCACACCCTTCCACCTAGGGTCGACCAACAGACCACGCCCCTATACAAAGGGTCAGCCTAAATACAACAGCAGACCACGCCCATCTACCTACACACCACACCCTTCCACCTAGGGCCGACCAACAGACCACGTCCCTATACAAAGGGTCAACCTAAATACAAAGCAGACCAGGGTCATCTACCTACAGACCACGCCATCTACAGGGTCGACCAGCAGACCACACCCAATCTAAATACAACAGCAGACCACGCCCCTCGACCTACAGGCTACACCCTTCCACCTAAGGTTGACCAGACTGCATCCCTATACAAAGTGTCAACCTAAATACAACAGCAGACCACGCCCATCTACCTACAGACCACACCCTTCCACCTAGGGTCGACCAGCATACCACACCCCTAAACAAAGGGTCAATCTAAATACAACAGCAGACCAGGCCCATCTACCTACAGGCTACACCCTTCCACCTAGGGTCGACCAGCATACCACACCCCTAAACAAAGGGTCAACCTAAATACAACAGCAGACCACGCCCATCTACCTACAGACCACACCCTTCCACCTAGGGTCGACCAGCATACCACACCCCTAAACAAAGGGTCAATCTAAATACAACAGCAGACCACGCCCATCTACCTACAGACCACACCCCAACTGACGACACCTTTCCTCCTACAGACCACGCCCCTAGCCCTGTACCTACAGACCACACCCTCCCTCCTACAGACCACGCCCCTGTACCAACTGATGACACCCTCCCTCCTACAGACCACGCCCCTGTACCTACAGACCACACCCTCCCTCCTACAGACCACGCCCCTGTACCAACTGACGACACCCTCCCTCCAACAAACCAAGCCCCTGTACCGACCGACGACACCCTCCTTCTTACAGACCACGCCCCTGTACCAACTGACGACACCCTCCTTCCTACAGACCACCCCCGTACCTACAGAACACACCCTCCCTCCTACAGACCACACCCCTGTACCTACAGACCACACCCTCCTTCCTACAGATCACGCCCCGGTACCAACTAACGACACCCTCCCTCCTACAGACCAGGCCCCTGTACCGACAGTTGACAACACTCCACCTACAGACCACGCCCCTGTCCCGACAGTTGACAACACTCCACCTACAGACCACGCCCCTGTACCTACAGACGACACGCTCCCTCCAACAAACCACGCCCCTGTCCCGACAGTTGACAACACTCCACCTACCATACTCTCCTCCAGGAGCAGCAGCCTGTATTTGTTCATCATTGTGTGACTTCGTTTCAGCAGGTCTTCCGACACTGTATCAAATACAGTCTCTGCTGCAAGAGGAAACAGACTTTACACATCACACAATCTCAGCAAGACAGAAAATTAAGGAATATCTCATAAATCACTGACAAAATATTTTACATTTGAAGCTCTCAAAGAAGACTGAATATGTATTTCACAATGAGTTATCTCCCTTTAACCAGCTTATACATGTAAACTACATTTTGACAGGATGTAAGTTACATTAAACATTTCTTAAGGGATACATTTTAAAATGAAATATAATATATCTAAGCATGATGAGATAATTACTTCTAATATAATATTTCCAATAAAGAAATTGTTAAAGAGTCATAGCCCCAACTGTACTACAATACTGGAAATATTTTTAGCATTCTACCCACCAGCCAATTGCCATTTAGGCTCACATCTTCAGTCTGAGATCTTTTCTTCTAAACATCCCTGCTTACCAGATGTGAGGTGAGGTGAGGTGAAATTGGGTTTAACGTCGAGCTTGAGAATATTTCGCTCATATGACGACGTGCATGCGTGTGTACGTGCGGCTGCTTGTACTAGCCCAGACTTAAGATGGTTTTATAGTGCTAGCCCACTGAGATACCAAGCCGCAGTGATGCATGAATACCCCACTCAGACACATTATACTGACTCCGAGCCGACCAGTCCTTGTTGTACCCATTAATGCTGAGCGCCAGGCAGGGACCAACAAGTACCATATTTTAAGTCTTTTGGTATGACGAGGTCGGGGATTGAACCCGCAACCTTCCGCTCTCTGGGCAGATGCTCTAACCACTACACCACGGAGGCGGTCTTACCAGATGTGACAATCTTGAGAGTATGTCATTCTGAGTAAGAGCAAACTCACCTTTCTTGAATGCATCTTGCTTGGGACCATGGTGCTGAAAGACGTGATATCGCAGCAATCTTCGACATGCTTCCTTGTAATCTTTGAACGGAGACTTGGTGTCTGGATTGACAGCATGCTGTTGGTCCTTGCCTAACTGCTGGTGAATACTGCTGTCAAGACAACATATCTTCAGCACTACATGTTACGAGAGGAACAGCATATCAAACTGTCAGGGTGATTAGATTGTAAACTAAAACTTTAGAAAATCAAAAGGAATTTAAAAACACCAATTGTTAGTACATAACAATCATTAGTTTCAAAAGACAGAAATAATTAGAAATAAATTTTTAATTTTGTGAAACAAAGAGTGTGAATTTCAAACCTGTCACTGTTTGTTAGTAAGGCCAGATTTGAATTACTTCCCTTTAGTTTAAGTGGTTTATCCTAATCAGTAATAGTATATTCATTCTACCCTGATAAATAAGCACAATCCCTTGCCCTCTGTAGCAACAACAATATTAAATTCATTTACTGGAAGCACCATGGACTGACGGACTGACTGACTGACTGAGTTTAGTTTTACGCCGCTTTTAGCAATATTCCAGCAATATCACGGCGGGGGGACACCAGAAATGGGCTTAACACATTGTGCCCATGTGGGGAATCGAACCCGGGTCTTCGGCGTGACGAGCCAATGCTTTAACCACTAGGCTACCCCACCTCCCGAAGCAGCATGGAGATAGTACCAGTAGCTACCAGTAGCTTTTACACTGTCCTATACTTACAGTGTTCCCTTTGGCACCTCTGAGGGGGCGGGCCTTTTTGTGGGGCGGTTGGGTGTGCTGGTCTGCACAGCATCCACACCCACTTTGATTTGGTTTATGCCCTTGTCTATTTGCTGCAAGAAAAAAACAACATGCTGTTACTGAAGCAAACAGACAATACAAGACACCATGTGAGTGACTAGATTAACCCATCTACCAAGAATATGACTATTAAAGTACTGTCGGAAATAGAAAAAAAATGTTTTTTCACATTTATATCTACAATTTAGGTAGTTAATATGTGAAAGTGTGAAATATCTGTTAAACCAAGTTCGGCTTAAATACAGTCGCAGTGGGAGGGAGATAGGAAACGTAAAAAAAGGACTTTACTGAGAAGAGATTAGTGCAGAAATGAGCAATGCGGGTTTTAACTTTGTCCAATGCGACTTATTTAGAACAGACCATGGCTTTATGCAAATTAGTACGCCATGATATTGTATTACAAAGGACACTTTTTAAATGATCATTTTGAAATTAGACTTAGCTTCATTATAAACGATAGCAGACGTAAAAAATAATAACTTTAATACTGAAACTATTAAGGATGTAGCTACCATGGCATCTCACTATCACTACAAAAAGAAACAGGTAGAAGGGGTCGTCTCAAAAGCAAAACCAGGACGGGTGATGCTGACGGTGGTTGGGGTCGGGCTGGGGAACTGAGATATTAGCTAAGATAAGATAATCAATACACATGAAAAAAAACATAAAATATCTTTGAGATGACCCCTTGTGCCTGTGGGCAGCAGGTGCATTTCATGCCATGTGAGTCGACAGTCCGTCGTCATACCTGGCTGAGCGACCTAATTGCCATCTATAGTCTGATCTATTGTTTTCAGCAGCTATTCGTATTTTTTCTAAGTTTTGCCTGATTTTAGGAGTAAACATGCTTTTCTGGATATCCTATTACGCATCCCCCTGAACGCCCAGTTAGGCCGATGTGGGTTATTTTCGACATATGCTATTTGCAATTGTGTAAATTTTAGTGATACAGAGCAACAGCCTTTTACATTTTTTTTCTATTTCCGACAGTACTTTAGTGAAATTATTAGTGTTGATCATGTCAAGACAAAGTGTACAGATATGACATGTGGGCAGGTGGACAACGTACATGAACAGTAACGGAAACTGTTCCTGATGGACTGATGGGTTCTACTTCGATGTACAACAATCTGCATTGTGCCAAGAGGATAGGTGTAAGTACATGTACAGTAATGGGTATTCTTCCAGTTGAATGGATGGGTTCTACTTCTATGTACAACAATCAGCATTGTACCAAGAGGATAGGTGTAAGTACATGTACAGTAATCTTCCAGCATTGTGTACCAAGTGCCAAGAGGATAGGTGTAAGTACATGTACAGTAATGGGTATTCTTCCAGTTGAATGGATGGGTTCTACTTAGATGTACAACAATCAGCATTGTGCCAAGAGGATAGGTGTAAGTACATGTACAGTAATGGGTATTCTTCCAGTTGAATGGATGGGTTCTACTTAGATGTACAACAATCAGCATTGTGCCAAGAGGATAGGTGTAAGTACATACAGTAATGGGTATTCTTCCAGTAATGGATGGGTTCTACTTAGATGTACAACAATCAGTTGAATGGATGGGTAAGTACATGTACTTAATGGGTATTCTTCCAGTTGAATGGATGGGTTCTACATGTACAACAATCAGCATTGCCAAGGGATAGGTGTAAGTACATGTACAGTAATGGGTATTCTTCCAGTTGAATGGATGGGTTCTACTTAGATGTACAACAATCAGCATTGTGCCAAGAGGATAGGTGTAAGTACATGTACAGTAATGGGTATTCTTCCAGTTGAATGGATGGGTTCTACTTCGATGTACAACAATCAGCATTGTGCCAAGAGGATAGGTGTAAGTACATGTACAGTAATGGGTATTCTTCCAGTTGAATGGATGGGTTCTACTTCGATGTACAACAATCAGCATTGTGCCAAGAGGATAGGTGTAAGTACATGTACAGTAATGTAATGAGGTGAGGTGAAATTTGTGCCAAGAGGATAAGAGTCCCAAGTACATGTACAGTAATGAGGTGAGGGTTTAACGTCGTGCTTGAGAATATTTCGCTCATATGATGACGTGCCTGTATGTGTATGTGCGGCTGCTTGTACTAGCCCAGACTTAAGCTGGTTTTATAGTGCTAGCCCACTGAGATACCATGCCGCAGTGAAGCATGAATACCCCACTCAGACCCAACATGTACAACAATGGCTGTTCTGCACAACTGGTGGATGGGTTCTACGTAGGCAACTGTACAGTGATGGGATATTGTGTGGTGGGTTTGCTACAAGCGATTCAGACTTTGCCAGTAGGGAGAGCATTGGTGGGTGAGTTCTATGTACCTGTACAGTGATGGGTATTTTGCCTGGTGGGTTTGCTACAAGCAGCTGAGGCTTGGTCTGCGGTGATGTTGTTCGGATCACCTGGATCTGCTGGTGTATCTGCTGTTGCTGCTGCAGCTTGAGCAGCGTGTGCTGCTGCTGCTTGAGGAACATCTCCTGCTGCTCCATCGTCATGCGGCCGAGGTGCTGCTGCAACTTCTCTTTCTGCTGTGATGTTAGGTTCAGAGTCAGCATCTGATTGGCTATCTGTTTTGAGTAAATGACCGAGTGAGTAATTAAGCAAGTTTAGTTTTACGCCACTTTTAGCAATATTCCAGCAACATAACAGCGGGGGACACCAGGAATGGGCTCCACACACTGTACCCATGTCGGGAATCAAACCCGGACCTCGGCGTGATGAGCGAACGGTTTGACAACTATGCTACCATACCAAATGACCAAGTGAACAATCAAGCATCGAATATCTGGATGCTAATATCTGGCCACAAGTTTAAAGAAGAAGCTAATAAAAATCCTAAAATTGCAATATATAACAGGTTTCGGATGTGACCAAGGGATGCAATCCATGACAACTTATATAGGCCACCCAGCGTTGCATAGGCACATGTCATCGAACTTAATTCTACAAAATACATTTTTTTAATCAAAGGAAAATCATTTTAGAAAGCTGGCAACTGATTGGCTCAAGAACCCATGCAGCCTTCTTTCAGAATGGGCATAATAGTTTTAAGATAAATTCGACTTGGAACAGGGTTCACCAGATTCGACTTTGATGAGGTGTCTATCTTAAGTTGGAAGGTACTGTATTGAGTAAGAGTGAAAGATCTGATTCCAGTTTTACACAACTACAGGTGATCAGCAAGCTTACCTTAATCTGTGTTGGCAGCGATGGAGTGGCAGATATTGGCATTTTCCCTGGAGGCGGCGTCCTGATGACCGTTGTTGCTGCAGGTACTGGAGGTCGCGTGGGTGTGGCTGTGGTTACAGGGGCACTCTGAATCTGAATCACCTGGGTTGTCCCCCCTGGCGCCATCTTGATGGTCTTGGTCGGAGACCCATGTTTTATCACGGTTTGCAAATACTGTGGTTGGCCTGTTTGAGCAACTGTTGTGATCATCTGCGTTGCTGGAGCTGTAACTGTAGTCTGCTGGGGCACTGCTAACTGGATCACTCCGGTTCCGCCTGCTTGAGACTGGACTACTATACCCGGTTGACTGACGATGGACTGCAATGAAATCGGCTGTGTACCCGGCTCAGTCTTTATCTGCGTTGGCGCAGTTGCAACAACAACTTGAGGTTGAGCTATGGGTGGCTGCCCCACCATTGGTTGGGCAGTCAAGGAAGTCGGAACTAAAGGCTTGATAGGTTTCGGAGAAACAGTTCCAGCATTTGGCTGGGAAGTCTGAGTAACAATGGAGGGGTACGAATCCTTTAGACACTGCTGGAGAGTACCAAGTTTCTGAATTTGGTCTTGTGTAAGATTCGGCTGATTCAACAGTTTGTTAATTTCTAGCTGCACCCTCTGCAATTTGAGTGGGTCGGTATTGCTAGTCTGAAACGTTGTCCCCTGGGGGGCTAATGTGACATTGGGTGGCCCGGACTTGATCACTTGGGGTTGGATCTTTATCTGTGAGGATGATGATGGGGTCGATATGATGCCCACAGAGCTCTTAGACTGAACGGAAGACACGATCTGTGATCCAGATAGTGTATTCGCCAGTGTAAGCTGAGCTGGCACCTGCACCATGGCCTGGGTGACGGTCGTGGTGACGGCAGTGGGCGTGGACTGAGCTGTGTGGATGCCTGCAGCGTTGGACGCTGTTGCTATGAACTGTGATATGGGGATCTGGATCTTTTGAAAGTTCTGGGCCAGCTGTTGAGGAGAGCCTTTCACTTGACCATCGGGGTTACTCTTGGACTTCTTCGACTTACTCTTGCTAGTGGTCGTAACTGCGGGGGTATCGGACCCTGTATTTGAACTTTTCGGCTCCTGGCCTTGCTTAATCTGAGTATTTATTACCTGACTTAGGCCGGATGAGATCAAAGCTTTTGACACAATGTTTGTGGATTGATTGATGCTTGACACATTCACAGTCTGTGGCTGAGAGCCAAGCTGAGTAGGAGCTGGTTGCACGATATATTGACTGCCATTTTGCTGAAGCTGAATGCCCTGTACGCCCTGTACACCCTGTACGCCTGGCATGGAGCCTACAGTACTTGTTGCCAGCCCTTGAATCTGTTGCAGGTTGATGTTCTGCCCCGACAGAAGGTTCAAACTCTGGCCCGCCAGGTTGAGGGTCACTCCCTGGGACGTGGGATGGGAGCTCTGCCCCCCCACCAGCTTCACCTGCTGGGGCTGGGTCCCCCCAGGGAGCACCTGCTGGTACTGCACACTCTGTGATGTGGCCTGATTGAGGATTTGCTGGGAGATCTGAGAAGCAGTCTGGAGGGAGGCTCCTTGGAGATTTGCCTGACCAGCTTGGCTCCCTTGGATTTGGATGAGATTTGGATGAGGTACTGTTCTAAATATGATATTCTGAGGTTGCCCTTGAGCAGGATGTGGTGCTCTCTGAATCAGAATCTGCTGTCCTTGAGCACCACCAATGTTCACTAAACTAATATTGGGCGGCACAACACTGGCAGTTTTGTCCTGGCCTGGCTGGGGAGCCAGCCGTATCACATTCCCCACCCCCACACTTCCTGGTGTATTCTGAATCACAGCCGTCCCTCCACCCTGCATGAGTTGTTGCCCCTGGAGCACTTGCTGATGCACAGCACCCAAGTTGATCTGATGTCCCCCTAGTTGTTGGTTGGGGATTAGGATGCTTTTCCCTCCAGGGGTCTGAATAATAGTGCCCTGTAGACTGACTTGATTGCCTTGGATGCCTCCAGTGTTCTGTACGGTCACAGGCAAACCCTGGATGTTGCTTTGGATCTGTGCTGCAGGTTGCTGGCCCACTTGCTGAGAGTTGCCGCAAAGCACATGGGTGGCAACGTTCAGATTGACAACATTCGGGTTCTGTATTACAGCGTTCTGGGTGTGGACGATGTTGTGGGCATGGCCGGAGAGAACAGCCTGGCCGGGGATAATACTGGCATTCTGACTAGGATTCGGAATGATGCTTTGGATTGGTACTGTGCTGGTGAGTTGAACCGGGGCTTGGGACTGGGGGGTTGCGAGATGGAGGATGTTAGGGGACGGACTGGAAGATAGGGCCTGCTGAATGATTGGTTGATTCGGCGTGATGGACCGACTGATATGTGGAGAACAGGAGGGGGCGGGGCTCTGGCTGGGGGTGAGGGAACGACTGATAGCAGGGGAGGGTACCGAGAACTGCTGGGTGGGGGCGGGGCTGGATCCTGGGGTGGGTTGAAACTGGAGCTGTCCATTAGCATCAGCCTTCACTACAAAGTGCTGGGTCCCCGGTGAAATACTGAAAGACAAACCACCATATATGTCACAAAGTTTTGGAGAATATTACAGAACAAACAAACGCTTTAACAAAGGGCTGTTTTATTAACTCTGCGTGAGTGGGTATGGTTTTATGCCACTTTTAGCAATATTTCAGCAATATCACGGCGGGAGACACTAGAAATGGGCTTTACACAATGTACCCATGTGGGGAATCAAACCCAGGTCTTTGGCGTGTCGAGTGGACGCTTTAACCACTAGGCTACCCTACCGCCTCTTTTCAAAACTGAAATATCACACAATTTGTAAGATAGGAGTGATAAATAATCTCTGCCTTGTGAAGGCTTTTATCACCGAAGTGAAGTATCACAGAAACACTTATACACTCAAAAAGCGTAAGTAATCTGTATGGTATATATAGTGGACATTTGGTGGGATTGAAATTTACAGGACATTTTACATTTTTGTCTAGCCATGACAGATTAACTATGGTCTAACCAAAATACTGGGTGAGGTGAGGCGAGGTGAAATTGGGTTTAACGTAGTGTTTGAGAATATTTCGCTCATATGACGACGTGCATGCGTGTGTATGTGTATGTGCGGCTGCTTGTACTAGCCCAGGCTTAAGCTGGTTTTATAGTGCTAGCCCACTGACATACCACGCCGCAGTGAAGCATGAATACCCCACTCAGACACATTATACTGACTCAGAGCCGACCAGTCCTTGTTGTACCCATTAATGCCGAGCGCCAAACAGGGACCAACAAGTACCATATGTTAACGTCTTTTGGTATGGCGCGGTCGGGGATTGAACCCGCGACCTTCCGCTCTCCAGGCGGACGCTCTAACCACTACACCACGGAGGCGGTCCCAAAATACTGGGTGTTCTGCTGGAGTAAACTATTAGTTTAATCATTTCATAAACATTCCAGTACTATGTGTGATGTGGAACTGACCCCTGTATGATATTGGCGGACTTGTGGAGGATCGGTTGTGATGAGATGCTGGTAGGAAGCTGCTGAATGACACTTCCCGCCGTGACGACCACCTGTGCCACCTGAGGAAGCGGGGTAGTTGTGGACACCTGCGTCTCGACGACCGATGACGCTGGGCTGGTGCTAGGCAGGGAACCTGCTGTGGCTGGGGACCGCTCTGATCCCCCCTCAAGTGAATAGGGGGTGCTGGCGGAGGATATGAAGTCATCTGCCCAATCAAAGGCAGACGATGCACAGTCCACATCCGAGATGTTCGGGACCTGTAGCCAAATAAGTAGAATGTTATATCATATTTACGAATGTAAAATGGTAATATTATGGTCCCCCAAACATTGCTTCATATGTAGTTTTTAAAGATACTGCATAGAATATAATTACGTCACACATCTGGGATTCAAAAATCAAAGCCATTGACAATCATTAAAATCATATATTACTCCACTTTGTATTAATGATTATGAAAGATCAATGAGAATTTACCATTAGCCAAACAGAAAGCAGCTTTTTCCAGCTTTACACCATTAGTCTTGAAATGTTCAGGGGTGGAAATAACAGCTTTGGCACATGTAAAATCACTTGCACCATTAGTCTTGATGATTTTTAAATGTAATTAAAAGTCATCACCGGTACAGTCCAGACAACAGAAAAAACACTGGACTGGGCATCTGTAATGTTGTGTTAAACATCCAATCCAGACAGTCTTTCCAATGGGCTACATAACTGTTTATCCCATATAAAAGCATCAGATAACCAATGATTGTGTTGAAATACGACATACGGCCTCTAAATGTTATGGTTCAACTCACATGAGAACCCCCCAAAATAACTGATTCTGTCTGAAATACTTACACCATTGTTCTCTTCAAAGAAATCACTCAGTAAGTTAGTATCTCTGCAACACAATTAAGACAAAGTTTCAGGACAAGATTCATCATAAGATTCCATATAGTTATTACCAAACAACACAAACCTCAGTTTGAATAAATAGCAAGAATGCTAATCCATTAATACAAAAATTACTGTGGAATGCCCCTACTAGTTTGTTTGTTCTTAAACGCTGCACTCAGCAGGGCTCGATTTAGAGCTTTGTTACTTGCACTGGTGCAACCCAATATTACAAAGTGCAACCTGTTATTTGTCTAACTTACACCAGGTGCAAGTCAATTTTTGAGTGAGTAAACTTCTGAATAAAAAAACCATCTAAATAATTCAATAGCATATTTCTGATATTACATATTGCAATAAAAACAGTGCAACTGGAATTTTACTGGTGCAACTAAGTTTTAATCTTAGGTTGCACCTGGTGCAGGTGGGTTTACATCTCTTAAATCGAGCCCTGCTCAGCAATATTCCAGCTATATGATAGCAGTCTGTACTCTACATAACCTGGACCAAACAATCCAGTGATTGACAGCATGAGCATCGATCTGTGCAATTGGAATCGTTGACATACTACAACCAGGTCAATAAGCCTGACCACCCAATCCCATTAGTCTCCTCAGTAGAATTCACTAATGTGATATATCAGCAGAGCTTCATACCAGACCAAACATAAATTTACTAGACTTGGGCTTTGAGCTAGAGGCTCAAGTTGCAGATTGTGAGGTCTTCTAAACACATATAACATTACTATTAGCACAGTTGTAAAAGTTATTTTATTGCTCCAACATGTCAAATGTATACTGGACAAAATATGTTAGGGATATTGGTATTTTTATGATTGATATTTTATCAGAGTGTCAATGAATAAATACATCATTATTCATAATTTCCAAATTTACATATATCCCTAACTATTTTTATCCAGTATATTTTGCCAGTCCTGTAGTCATTAATCTAATCGTGAACTTCATCATATTCAGGAGTTCAAGTTACATCTGTTTAAGAGCAACATGACAGTCATAAGAATCTATAAACTGCTGAAACCACTGCAGTGTGTAGAAAGTGGCAACTTACATGTTGACATCAAGCATTGACTGGCCATTATCCATCTCAGAGGGAACTACAAAACAAAAGTGATCGAGTGAGTGAGCTTGATTTAATCCACTGTGAACATTTATTCGTGTCAACTGGATGGGGTGGAAAACCCGAAGTAATGCAGCTTTCCGGTGTCTTCAAAAACTCATTCGTAACTGCCTGCCTGTTTCCGTGACCTACAAGAAGACTCGTACCCCTATCGTATGCCATTAATGCCAAGAATAGTGGCAAACCAATCAAAGCACAATTTAAACATAAACTTTGAGCTAAAGGATCAGCAACTTTAAACACTGAAACATCTTTACAAAGGGAATGACTGTATTGCTGTTTTGCTCACGGGAAAAAGGATATTCTAGGAGCCATGCTTGGAAATTTAGAGTTATCTTTCCTTGGTAATAGTACTGGACAATTTTCATCTCAATGCCCGTTTGCGCTTAGACAGGGCCCAGTCGTAAGCATGGCCATGAGAGGGGTATGAGACGCCATCCGGCTTACCAGAATGACACGAGTAGTTACGAATGTTCAAAATTTATCACTTTGAGGAAATCTCCAAGCGAAGATATGCTGGAAAACAACTAAAAACATGATCAGTTAGAATTTGGGAACCCATGATCAAAAGTGTCTTGCTTGCACAAGGGACACAACTCTGTATAGAGAAGCATGGGATCATGTGAGTGCCCTGTAGTGACAAGTAAGTTAACAAATACGAGTTCTATAGCATGAAGACATATCCAAATAGCAAAAACATTAAACTAATCACATAAACTTATTTTCAACCTCTGTGCAACCTTCATGCTGGAAGCCAAGTGGTTTCAACTTGATTATGTCCAGAAGAAAGAGGATATAGCGCAATGCTGTACTGATTCAACACATTTAAAAAGTACTAAGTAGTTATGTCCCTTAGAGAGGTGATAATTGCCTGTGATATGGAACATTCACATGTTTCAGTGTAGGGTGTACTGAAACATCCTTTGAACATGTACTTACAATGTTTAACGATCACATATACTCTAGGGGGGTACAAATACATAAATCACTAATTGGCATTGCCATCAATAAAACCCTGTCATTAAAACTACTCATTTCGATCTTTAATTAACTTAAATCAACCTTTTTGACAACAGTGCACAATTCTCACCCGCGAACGAAATTTCAACCAATCAGAGCGGCGCGCCTCTGTGACATCATATGAGGAATAGGTATGAGGGCCGATGCAGAATTCATGTACATTTCAGGGGGTAAATTATATTGTTTACAGGTTTGTATAAACTGGAAATCGTGACAACTGTTGTGAAAAATGAAAGCTATATGTTCTCACAATCTACTGTCATTTAATTTTGTCTCCTGCTTTGCCTAGTTTCCGAGTTACAACTTGTTTTCATAGACGATTCTGTCAAAATCGCTTGGTGTCGCTAGGCCTTGTTTGTTTGAGCCAGACACTAGTGATATATCGAAAACGATGATCAGCCTCGCTCATCACGGTTATGGTTAATTTCTTCAACCTAAACAGTGCGACATTAAGAAGGTTGGATGCCCATCAGATGCAGTTGTTTGAAAATATCCCTGGTAGTGGTTGTCTGATTGCAATAAAGTATCAAAGCAGTGTGGGCTTTTGCAGGTTTCTTATGCCTGGATTGTATTAATGACTGATCCAAATTGATCCCATTTCTGTGTTTTTTTACCTCGATATTTAATCATGTCATGTAAAAATATGATGTCTATTACGTATGATATTAAAAATTGACATTTGATGTATTTGAACAAAGTAAACAACCCTACTTTGCCATTGCTAGAAGAATCTGAAAATTTCCTTAGGTAAATAGGTACATACAGTTTTAGCACACAGCAAATGCTTATATGTATTTCTTATGCAACAATGAAGTTCTGTTTGCATTCTCAAAACAGTGTCAGTCCATAAATTTTCATATGCAATTAAAATTGCATGCAATACAGCAATTAATACTCCCTTGTTGTAACCCGTGTTAGGTGGTATAAACCTACACGTTATTTGTCATCATTCATTTGATGGTTAGTTAATGAATTTATAACAGGTATAATTAGTGGTAACACCACTTAGATTACCCGACACAATTTGGCATTTCTTGTGTCTGGAGTAAATACTCAACATTATAAACATCGATCAAAGGATTAACCGATAACACTGATAACTGATTGATTAATTACTTTTATCTTGCACAGCGGATTTGTCAAAAGGTAGTGTTTATGTATGTAGATTTACTAATCTATACTGAATACACTCTGTCGTGTCTGTGTCCGCATAAAAACAATGTCTTTCTTTCAAAGGATTAACCGCCAATAGTTTGATTGATTGCTCATTATTGGCTAACTAAATTACTTTTTTTATTAAAGAATGGGGACATTATGCAATTAGTTGCCAGGTGTGCTATCTTGGATGACCAATGAGACTATACACCAATGTGGAATACCTGAAATGATGCATCACTTTTTCGTATATTAGACTGTTAAAAGACACATCACTTGGAACAGCTGCAGATGAATGGCATATCACTCGTTTTTGTGGATATTGATGGATACATTCCCCGAACAATCGTTATGTTACAACTTGTGTCATGCAAAATCCTTTGGTCATGATTCAAATACATATTAAACTACGAGTAGAAAGTAGTTTTGATTTTCTAACTTGATGAAAACAAACCATAATCTCATTAATTCTAACAGACTTTAGCCTGTGACTTTACGATTTTCAAAAATGGCGGCGCCCTGTCACAAACATCCGCCAGTCTGAGGATAAATGCTATTTAGGTTTGTTTTCACCGAGTTACAAAATGAAAACTACTTTCTACTGATAGTAAAATATGTATTTGATGGATGGCCAATAGGATTTTGCATGACATAGCTTATAACATAGCAATCTCTTTATGAATTTGGTGTTCCGCATAAGATTGACCACAAATCTTTCATATGTAATAGTTAAAAGAGTAAAAAAAAACGAAGTTTATTTGTTCTTTAAGGTGTACTTACACATTAGATTAAGGTGAACTTACACATCAATTCAAGGTGTACTTACACCTCTGTTTAAGATCTACTTACACATCAGATTGAGGTGAACTTAAGCATCAATTCAAAGTGTACTTACACCTCTATTCAAGAGTTACTTACACATCAGATTAAGGCAAACTTAAGCATTAATTCAAGGTGTACTTACACCTCTGTTTAAGATTTACTTACACATCAGATTAAGGTGAACTTACGCATCAATTTAAAGTGTACTTACACATCTGTTTAAGTGGTTCCAATGTGGTGTTTCCCCCAGGGCCTTCTTTTCCTCATTTTCCTTACTTGGTTTGGTCATTCTGAAATACAAATGAAACGAAAAAATGTAAAAACTTTTCAACATGCACAGGAGAAGCTCAATCATAACGAACTTTACCCACAGCAATTGTTGACACCTGACATTTTGTGTCTGCTACTTTAGAAACATTTAAAAAATACTGCTTGCTCCAGCAAACATGATCACAAAGGAAACAAACAATCATGGATATATTCATTCTGAAAATGTAACTAATGTAAGCTTGTTTGAGCAAGCATATATATATCTTGATCAGGGTTTTACATATGATACTACAAACGTATTAGGCTGGGTCCCTAAATGATTAATTTCAAGTAATACAAGAAGACAAAGTCATCAATATCCCCCTCAATGGCAAAATACTCTTCATGATTATGTCTACGAGTTATGATTATGTCAAATATTTAGGTGTGTATATAGAAAAGTGGAAGGAGAGCATTGAAAGGTTTTTAAAGTTCTGCTCCAGAAAGGAGCACTATCACCAATTTCAGCCACTATCAGCCATTTTGTTTGCCCTCTCAGCAACAAGCAGGATAAGCAAAATATTTTCATATCTAAATATTAAAGTGCAGTAATTTTACTTTCTACATACAAATTATACTGTCTATTCATACAAACCAATATTTATCAGTATATCTCATTACGTTCACAAAAGACGTACGAAATCTGTTGAGTGCATGTTTGTTCGTGAATATTCGTCAAATTCAATGGTTAGTTTAGTTCATTCAAGTATGTTATACTAAAACAACAAAACTCTGATTAATCGAAAATATTTTTTTAACGATCGATAATTATTTTTAATCCTCCTTTATTTGATTCTTTTCGATCATCAGAACACCACTAGCCAAAAGCTTATCTGGAGCTGTTTGATAATTACTTAACAACATGACCTTTACATTTCTTGTTGAGAAGTTAGCATAATACATATTGTTGTATATCCATCGGGATTGAAATGTATATTTTATGCATCCATTCTATACATTTGTGCATCACCTTTACGTGTAACATCTTAATATATTAAGGGGCACAATTCAGTAAGATCTTGTCATTTATCCACTCTTTCCTAACTCAGTGTATTTCCCCTTTCAGATGCCATAAATCTTGGAGGTATATAGTGAGTGAGTGAGTTTGGTTTTACGCCGCTTTTAGCAATATTCTAGCAATATCACGGCGGGGGACACCAGAAATGGGCTTCACACATTGTACCCATGTGGGGAATTGAACCTTAGTCTTTAGTGTGAAGAGTGAACGCTTTCACCACAAGACTACCCTACCACTCCCCTACTCTATAGAAGTAAAAGAACATCAGATTCTTTCATATTACTATGTGTTATCATTACACTATAAAAGAATTGAGTGTTCTTTAACTTATGGGGCGGCGGGGTAGCCTAGTGGTTAAAGCGTTAGCTCGTCACGCCAAAGGTCCGGGTTCGATTCCCCACATTGGTACAATTTTTGAAGCCCATTTCTGGTGTCCACCGCCGTGCTATTGCTGGGATATTGCTAAAAACGGCGTAAAACCATACTCAGTCAGTCAGTCTTAAACTAATTTTGGGTAATGTATATGGCATATGTCCACTTTACTCTAAATGTGTTGATGACTACAATGAGTTGAAATACTGATCTGACAATGGGTAGGTCCGTGGGTAAAGTGCTCATCATGCAGAACATTGGGTTCAAATCCTCATATATATAATGTGTGAAACCCATGGTCTCATATCACCATATTGCTATAACTGGGTCTTCGGCGTGACGAGCAAACGCTTTAACCACTAGGCTACCCCACCGCCCCTGGAGGTATATAGAATAATGTAAGTAAGCACACTGGCCCGGGTAGCCTTGCTCCAAGGCTGTACTGAAGGCTAAGCCCAAGGATGTACAGTAATTCTATCCTATAAAGAAGCACCACCAGTCTGTTATAGGGATATTAATATGTTTAGTAATTATCATTTAAACTATTAATTATTAACTTAGAGACTTGTGCAAGACTATCACCCAGCCAAAACAAAACTGTAATCAATTGACAAGAGTGTGTATAAATTATCGTGGCGGCTAATCTGACGTACGCTATCTCAGCAGCTGATTGATAAAGGTTGGCTCAGCTGATAATTGGTGATACATTATCCTGGGTAATTGATTAAGTATACTCAGCTGTTTACAGATAATAGTAGACATTAAAACAGCATATTCACCCCTGTGGGATATTAGCAAATTGCAGACAGTGCCACTGTCAAACATCCACAGAAACAGGGTTGAAATTAGCTCTAGCCAGGGTGACTTTTGTTAATGTAAAATGGGATCCTAATGACTTGTAGAATTTTATACATTTGGGAAAGGGAAGTAATTACATGACATCACTGTAACACATGGCTACAGTGACATGAGTGAGTGAGTGAGTTTAGTTATAAGCAATATTCCAGCAACATCACGGGCCAAAAATGGGCTTTACCCATGTGGGGAATCGAACCGGGTCTTCGGCGTAACAAGCGAAAGCCTTTACCACTAGGCTACCCCACCGTCCCTACAGCGACATGAAAGTATTGAGTGTTATTTAACTTCTTGTAGAGAGTTGAGTAGTATATTGTTTATATACCACAAGTTAGGTCAACGTATGAATGTCAGTACATATCTCAAAGCTCAAAAGTGCTCTTCAGTCAAAACAGTTATGTCAGCAGTTTATAAATGGCATACAACTTCATGAACGTGGAATAATGGCAATTTGCTGTGTCATCACAAATTCACAGTAACAGTTTCAGGGATTGAAATTAGCATAAGCATGCTATCTCACACCAGTTTTTGTTAATGTTAAACATATCTTAAAGGCAAGTAGAATTTCAAACATTTTTGGGGGTTTAGCTTAGAGGCTATTATATGGCAGTTTTAATATCATATGTCACATCAGCCCAAGGGCTCTTTCATACATGTAAAATGACTCATATCACTACCAGGTATATAACAAGTTATCACCATATCATGACTGGGTATATCACATGTTATCACCATTTCACTGCTAGGTATATCACATGCTACTATTCAAGCTTGTAGGCCTGAAAATGTAAGGCATTACTTTACTGTGAAACAAGCTACCCTAGTCTCTACTTATAGGATGTTTGCAAATGTTTTCCATAATAAAAACAATTTCAGACCAGGTATGACGTTATTGCCAACTGACTGACTGAGTTTGGTTTTACGCCGCTTTTAGCAATATTCCAGCAACATCACGGCGGGGGACACCAGAAATGGGCTTCACACATTGTACCCATGTGGGGATTCGAACCCGGGTCTTCGGCGTGACGAGCCAACGCTTTAACCACTAGGCTACCCCACTGCCCCTATTGCCAACTGGATGCTACTGCATCAACTGTACTAATTTAATTCTGGTTAAAAGAATAGACAATCAGAAGATTATTTATGTTTATTGATTTGAAAAATATCATCAATAAATCTTCTTTCAGAAGAAATAAAGCCCTAATTCACAAACACAATACACAAAGTTACATCCTGACTAACATGGGCAGCTTCTAATTCTGTTAAGAATGCTGTATTTGTCATTAATCCCGGTATAAACGTGTCACGACTCGCCAGTGACATGAAATATTTATTAAACAAATTCATTTCTGCGAAGTTAATTCTCTGATGGATGGTGGAATAGCCTAACAGTTAAAGTATCTACTCATCACATCGAAGACACAGGTTCGATTCCCCACATGGGTGCTATGTGTGAAGCCCATTTCTGGTGTGTCATAAAAGTGTCATAAAACCATACTCACTCACTTCTTTGATATTTATAGATAAATCCACTGATACTAAGTTGTAGTTCTCGTCCTACCAGACATTAAACACTCAAATGATTCTCACCCATCTACATTATTGCCATGCTCATTTTCTTAAAACAGAAAAGCTTAATTCACGTTTCTTACAAATTTGGAAAAGATCATGTGATTAATTTATTGTGGCCATGGGTTAGGGATTGTAAAATGATGTAGAATTCCTGGTGTTCCCTTCATCCCTACATCATCACGATGTCAGTGTCATCAGGTACTACCGGTCTCGCTCGGATCATGGCTGGTTGGTCTTGATGAACAGGTTGAAACCAGTCACATGTGCTCCACTTATCAGTTTATTCCACTTAATGAAGCCGTTTCCATAATACACCCACTGCAGTTTTCACAACATGTCACAGTTGGTGCTCATAATGAAAATGCACTGATATGATCCAGCCATCTGTTGCCTGTGTACATAAGAGCAACTGTGTCCATGCATTGATCGCTTCAGCTCAGTCCGGCCTTGTGGGTCAGCAGAATTTGTCTCCAGCATGGCTTGATATGTCACCACAGGCCACTGAGCTTGTCTACTACATGGCTTGATATGTGACCACAGGCCAGTGAGCTGGTCTACTACATGGCTTGATGTGTGACCACAGGCCAGTGAGCTGGTCTACTACATGGCTTGATATGTCACCACAGGCCAGTGAGCTGGTCTACTGTATGGCTTGATATGTGACCACAGGCCAGTGAGCTGGTCTACTGTATGGCTTGATATGTCACCACAGGCCAGTGAGCTGGTCTACTGCATGGCTTGATAAGTCACCACAGGCCAGTCAGCTGGTCTACTGCATGGCTTGATATGTCACCACAGGCCAGTCAGCTGGACTACTGCATGGCTTGATAAGTCACCACAGGCCAGTCAGGCGGTCTACTGCATGGCTTGATATGTGACCACAGGCCAGTCAGCTGGACTACTGCATGGCTTGATATGTGACCACGGGCCACTGGGCTGGTCTACTGCATGGCTTGATATGTGACCACAGGCCAGTGAGCTGGTCTACTGTATGGCTTGATATGTCACCACAGGCCAGTCAGCTGGTCTACTGCATGGCTTGATATGTGACCACGGGCCACTGGGCTGGTCTACTACATGGCTTGATATGTGACCACAGGCCAGTGAGCTGGTCTACTGCATGGCCTGATATGTGACCACAGGCCAGTGAGCTGGTCTACTGCA